AATATTTATTAATCGTAATAATGAATTAATTATAATATTATATTTATATGAAAATTCTTTATCATGATAATATTGCAGTTTTTTTATTGAAGTTACTATTTTAAACACAGCGTTAAAATAATTCAGCCGTTAAAAGGTAATTGACCTGAAAATAAAAATAAACGTCTTATAATAGAAAAATTATAGGTGTCACATATTTTCAAGATAAAATATAATATAACAAGTGCAGCGGCGACAAGCATCGTGGCTTTTATAAAGACTATATTTTTTAATATTTTAATGTGTAACGTAAATGCTTGAAAAATTGCTCTTCACTTAATATATCACAAAAAAAGTGTTCTAATATAATACACTGTTTAAATTTTTGACACCTTTAGACTTAGTTACATAGCCTTGATAGCCATTTAAATAAATTCAGGTAGTATGATAAGTTATAAAGTTTACCATTGCAAACTTTTTTTTATCCCTGAAATGGGTAAGTCATTACATGCTGTAACTGTTGTTCTAACTACGGTTAAACGTACTGATGTTTGTTATATTTAATGATTTTATTTATAACATAACACTTAATGGGATCTAAGAATGTCGTTAGTAGTCATTTAAATGAAACTAATAAATTTCGGATCAATTAATGCGTATTTTATTATTATAACGTTACATACTCGCTTCGGATACTTTGCTGCAACCCTGATCACCGGCAGATAAGATGTAACAAAGTAACAAATGCGAAAAATAATTAATTGTTTCAGTGAAATAGCAGCTATCATTTATAATCAAGTCACCTCAATTTAACTAATACATTAGAATTTGTCTGAACCCTGGATGTAGTATATAGATACTAGTATAGACTAGTATGTATTATAAATGCCAGACAAATTAAAAGTAATCCGAGAGATTTTACATTTGATTTCATTCTGAAAGCTTAATTTCCAAAAGCCTTTTATTATTTCAACATTAAAATATAACGTTATTTGCTTTCAAAATTATGGTAAAAATTTCCTATTTATTTCTTTTCATACTATTTGATTAATTTTATTAGTATTAGAGATAGATATTATTATTACTGTATTTATAAAAAAATAAAAAGTTTAAAATCAATTTAAAATTTTACAAATGTCTTAAATGTAAATAAACCAAATGTAAATAAATGTCTTAATTGTAAATATACCAAATAATGGATAAAAGAAAATTAATCGACACGAGTGAGATTCAAAGCTGCGTACTCCAAAATATGGGTTCCAGTTGCTTTTACAAATTAAGTTTTGATACTTTGACCAATGATAATGAATTTTTCGCTTTACACTACCAGTTTGAATTTTATTTAAAGAATCAGCTCATTATATTTCTTATTGACGGGGGAATAAGATTTCTTTTAATATTAAAATTAATAAGTAAATTATAAACTTCGTAGAATGTATAGATCTTCTAAAGGTTATTTCTGCTTATGATATGTTAGTGGAAATAGATATAATTCTTCGTTCTGAATAGTTGTTAGCATGCGATGTATCGATAATCTTTCAGATTAAGGTTAATCACTGTTTTATGATAATGTATGACCACGACGCCTTTAGAGTTTGTTGTTTCATAAATTAGAAGTTGTTGTTAGCATTATGTAATCTACTTCTTTCATATAATGAATTTGTATTAATATGTAATAGCTCTGATTTATTAATTAATTGTACTATAGTATTGATTGCCATCCGGAGAAATGATTTCTTTATTTTTTTAAGTTATCTAATAAGTCTTAGAAATGTACTTATATCGTGCAATATCAATTAGAGATATATTATTCCCAATCACATCTGAAGTACGTTTATGGCGACCGTAATATTGCTTAGCCATATTGTAAAAAATTGTTAGAATGTGTAAAGAAGTAAGTCATTGAAGAAATAATGCTTTCATATTAATATATGCGCAAATTACAATCACTATAAATAAAGAAAAAATTAATAATCGTTCAACAGTTCTCTGAATTAAGTTCTTATCATAGATTTAAAAACACTTTGAAATCAGTATAAATGTAGAACTTTTTCCTTACATTTGTTATAATTTTGATTCTTTGTGAAGGAATAGATCTTTTTTTATCTTTACTTAAAAAATGTATTTCATTTTACCGCAACTAATTTAAACAGAGGTAATCTTGTTAGAGATAAAATGTTTCAACCTGACCTTATAATTGTAGTCAATTACTAGAATATACTTACTATTTTATTTGGAACTAAAATACTATAATAGTGAAACTGATATTCAGTTGATTACAAAGTTATTAAGTTCTATTAAAAAATTGATTCCTTATTATAATTGTCAGGCACCATTTTTTAAATTGGTCGAAGCTTGGCTTATATGGATTTACAATCAAATCCTTGCTAAGGAACATAGAAACTTCACTGTCATTTATTATTCAGGATTATCTTCGTGGTATTGAAAATAAAATGATAAAGGGAAAAAAGAAATTGAGTTACGTCGCTTCGACGTTAGGATATCTATTTAGTAGGGTTAATAGAAAAAGCTTTTTAGTATTCTAAAACACTTAGTACAAGTTTTAAATACTACTACATAATATATAAATTTACGTTTATTTATGGCAGACAAAGTGAAATAAAATCTGATTAATAATCCTAGTTGACTAAGTTCAATTCATAGCTTCGGTCGTGTTAATAGTATGTCATCTTTTTTACCCAACTTATGTTACTTTAATTAAGATATTCAATATCTACATATACAATATACATTGGATAGGAAATATAAATAGAAAGGTTTAAATTAAATGTATTTTGTTCTTTGCTAGTGGCATTAATCGTCAACTGCTGATTAAATAAGTTGGCAGGACACTAACAACCTCGCTCTCGTCAGTTTCTAAGTGCTTGGGATTTTACAAAATAATAATAATTTATTTTCCTTCAAATATTGACTAGCCTAAACTTAAGAATTTGATTTCGAAGGCAAATGATCATTACAAACGGTTTTTCTTCTAACGAACCTTATACGGATACATATACATGTTATGTATGTAATTATGACACTTTAAGAAAAGAGAGTATTTAAAAAAATTAAAGTGCCTTGTAAAAATATTCCATATTCTACTATATAAAATCTGCTTGAGAATTTTCTTGGTAAATGGCATGTGTTATTAATAGCTGTATAAAGTATTAAAGACTTTTCAAAGTCTACGTATGATGGGCATGGAGAATCTTAGTACCAATTCCCTAAGTAAATGTATGTGGTGTTGCTTTCTACACTGTTTTGAAATCCGGTCCAATCACTAAATTCGTTGGCTAGAACGATTACTTCCAAAGCTCTTACATTAGTGGAAGTCATGTAGGGGTGTAAGCGTAATAGGGCCTATATATAATTATAGTTATTTAGGCCATTGTTATTTCTAGATAAAATATTACTTGTGTATCATATCATATTCTATGAAGTCCTACATGATTAAGGTCTTTCAGAAATATAAGTCATAATTTATATTATAAATTATTACATACTCTTGGAGTCAATAATATTTTAAATATTTTCTCATAGTTTAAGTGTTTCTTAGGAGATTTAAATGTAATCTAAGTTAAAAACAAAGAATTGTACATATCATTGTCACATGCTAATACAATTGTACACAACACGCTATTCATTAATTATAAGAAAAGCCTTTATTTAACATTTGTTCGCCAACTTGTTTAATTAGGTAGAGTAAGTTCATAGCTATTCGGATCACTGAAAATGCAAATGTAGACTTTATATTGAGTGTAGTGAAAGCTACATATATTTGTAAAATTTTAGTATATTAATTCATTAGTTCGTGGAACAACAATATTAAATTCGAAATGTTTGGTACAGAAACTATCATATCCATGAAGCTTGACTGCTTGCGCTTCGTAGAAAATATAAAAGTTACTTACGTTTTGTTTAATGTTAAATTTATTATATAGGTATAAATTAACTCACAAGCTCTTAATGTGAGAAATATTTGTTTTTGTAGTCCATATTTCTTTTTTAGGATATGGAAATAGAAATTAAGATGAAACAATCCGTTTTGTTATTTTTTATGAATATCCTGTATATTGCAATTGGTCATTGACAAATATTGTCAAATAAATCGATTTATTATACACACTTTAAAAAATTGTTAAAAACGTAATAACTTCAATAGGAATGATAACTACTGAATTAATTTAAATTGTACTATATAAATATCGTAATTCATTATCGACTTAAGCTTTGATTACCAAGAAAAAAAAATATCTCTACCAAAAAACGAAGTTATTATTTGTTATAAAATTTATAAAGAGTCGGTTCTAATTACTTTATAAAGTTAATTCAAGGGAAAATAATTTACTTTGTAAATTAATTAAATGAAGTTTTTCCTAAAATCCCCCAAAAGAGTTTTTTTTTTGGCTTACAAGCAATGGAGAGTAATTTTTATTTTATATATTTGTGGGTTTAATAAATAATAATAAAATAATAAACATTTCATGCACAAAAACGTAATAACATTATCCTTTAATGAAATAGCAGTCATTCTCTTAGGTAAGTTTATAAAATTGTCACGCAATTATGTGATTGGCTGTAATTTTCTTTAATATAATTGTCTTTTAATTGAAATAATTGAATAAGTTCCAAATGTCATCATTTTTGCTTTTGGTAATAATAAAATAAAGTCATACATGTGGGTGGTATTAAATTAGAGTAATAAACAAGTTTCCTCCAGTTTCCATACTAATCTCATAAAATAGTAACTTGGAAGACTCATTCATTGTTTTTTAATTTTATTTACGTAATTTTTCAACCCTTGATAACAATTTATTTAAGTTCAGGTATGTTAAACGATCCGTTACCAAATTCTCTTACAGTTGCACTATATCCGGATGATATTTATTGCTATTTCAGTTTATTTCTTTACAGAATGAATTGCTGTTTCCGTGTAAACGAGCAAATTCAGTTAGTTATTGAGTTTCAATGGAATGTCTCAAAACGGTTAGGAGTGTTTTTTCGTGGCTTTAAAAAATATGGTGCGCAGGACGTATGCTGTCTTCTGGACCGTTGCTTCCAATATCCTCGAAGGAGTGCTCGAGACTGCGGCTGTCAATTCGCCCTGCTGCATGCAGCTCCAGACGAGATTACTCAGAGCAGCTAGCGGAGTCCCGCCCGCGGGAGACCGCGGGCTTATCCTCAATGCCAATCCCGGTGTACGGGTTACGACCACCAAGTAAGCTGTAGCACGCTTACTAGTGTGTACCAATTGCCAGTGACGTCACGCAACACGTATTTGCTATTCTGACACGCACGCTCAAAATTGTATGGTTTTTGCACAGGCAGCTCTCATCACAGTTGGATTATCACAATTTCTGGATTTTTCGATGGCTATAGGGTCGTTTTCTGGATTATAACTGATTTTACATTCCATTTTATAAAACTGAAATATATTTTTACGTACTATTTGTTTAAACACCCTTTTGAAATTTTTTGAAGTTTTGTTGTTGAGTGTCTTTATTATATTTTATCAAAATTCATCAATTCACCCATTCTTTGAATTATGTACATTTCGGTCCCTTTCATGACATTGTGTATGATTTTAACATGATAATAGTTTTTTTATGTGGATTCATATAATATGTTATTATAAAATTAGCTTTCCGCCCGCAGCTTCGCCCGTGTGGAGTTCGGTTATATCGCTTTTCCAAGAGAACCTTTTAAAAGTCTGGGATAAAAACTATCCTATGTTCTTTCTCAAGGTCAACTCTATCTCTATACCAAATTTCATTAAAATCAGTTCAATGGTTTAGGCGTGAAAACATAACAGACAGACAGAGAGACAGAGTTACTTTCGCAATTATAATATTAGTAGTGATATGTCTTCTCTTTGGTAAACAGGTTTCGAATTTACTCTTGGTGATTTTTGATTGCTCTTGTCAATTTTGCGATATTGAATTTATAGGGGATGACAAATAAATATGGCTTTCTCTTGATAAATCGTTATTAACAAACCTAAGTGTGAGAAAAAATTAACAGCATTACTTCAGCAGCTTGTGACATATATTTAAAATGAACTACGTATCCTTTACTTGTTGGAAAATGTAATTTTCGCATACCTTTGCAGTAAATTTAGCACTTAGCACATTTATTAAATTTATTTTCACTGTGAATGATACGAGTGAGTGGATTAAGTGTTGATGCTTGGCATTCATTAAAACAAATTATGTATATCACAAATGCACCGTTTAAGTTTATTAAATAAATGACATTTATGAAATATTTAATAAAAATATTAAAAAACATTATAGGAAAAATCGTCGTATTTCTATTACCGAAACAATTTTTTTATTGAAAAACAATAGCTTTCTTCTAGCTATAAAATACAAAATAGGTCCGGAGGGCAAACAAGTTTTTGTGTTCGTTTCAAAAAAGAATGAACTCATCGCTTTCAGTATAAATACGATTTTCCTTTTATATTTATTCTTCCGTAACGTTAAAGCCGTTAAGTTCTTCTTCCTGTACTAACTCACGGATCGCGTGCACAATGACAACACTGTCAAAGTTTGAACATCGCATATTTTATTGGCATAAGAAATGTATTATCGTGCCTTGGATAATTAAAACTTTGACTGAAGTTATATATTCACTTTATATAACAACAGAACTTTGAGAACGATGCGTTAGTAAGTTGAAGGTTAGTTTTATTTCTTTAAAACATTTTGAACATGTAACAAATCCTATTTGAAATATTTGTTTATAAAGGTGAAAAACCGAGTTCTTCAAACTTATATCCTTAGGAATTGAGTTCCTTATAAAAAAGTTACCAAGTGTAAGTACTATAACGAACATTAATTTAGTATTATAATCCAAAATATGACATTTAGGTATATAATATATTATGACAGTTGATGTGCAGTATAGTGAGCCAGGTAACGTTTGAACCCGGCTAACTTTCTGAGCTAGGAGTTCTGAGGAATTTGATAATGAAAAGGGGAGTCCTAAAGGCTTTAGTTGCTATTAATCACTACCTTCACGATGACCACATGTAGTAGGACGTTATTAACAAGTCTGAATCCAGTTATACATCATTTGAAATCACTTTAGGTGAACTGTAACTATAAATTGGAATTGTTTTTTGTCTAAGCATAAACTACATATTAGCTGCCTCATTTATAAACGAAAAAAAAGATTGAGCACCTCTTATACCTATGAATATATATGATAAATATATAAACCTCGGATATGCTCGTCTACAATTTAAGATTTCTATAAAAACAAAAAGCTGAAGATTCTAATTTAATTTGAAAAAAAATCAAAATATATTTCAGAATATATTAGGTTTTATACGATGGTGAAAATCTTCTTCTACGGGGACATTTCATCGATGTTATACGTCTTGGATGTGATTTGTGAAGCATATTATGCCACTATCTAACATACTACTTGATCTCCGGTTTTTCACATGAAACGCTAACCGAAATTGATTGTATTTTTCATTATTATATCAAACTGCAAAACAAATATTATACCAAACAATTTTATTAAAAATTCTTTTGGTCCCAATAATTTGTGGTATTTCGTAATTTCAAAATGTTAAAAAGAACTATAAAACATTTTTATCATTTTGTATTATTTTAGCATCTAATTTTTTTAGTTAATAAATCGACAAGAAATCCCTTGATTTTATGCTGTATTAACATTTTAAGAAATAGTGCAACACTTATAAGGTTTCGGTGAAAGTGTAAAATAAGAAATAGTTTTTTACATTAAGATTATTTTCTTAAAATTTTAAACATTTAAATAAAATGGTTTTTAACACCCAATATTATAGACATAAAGTAATACCAAAATTATGTAATTTTTTGACTATATTTAATATTTTCAGCACATGCGTTGGTCTCACACTCACACACAGAGCCTTGAATGTGAGGAGCGGTTATTGGCGCGCTGTAATCGTCCTCGCGTCAACTCAGCTATCTTCGTTTCAGCCGAGCCCACTAGTTTCGCCGGCTTTGATCCTAGCGAATTTCTCAGACGACACGGATCACAATCTCAATTGTGCCGTAAGGCCAGGTAATAAGAATGAAATTGATACGTGTTGTGGAACAAGTATGTTTACACATTTTTATGTATACATTGTTTTCTTTTCATGATCTACACTTAGCTTTAAGGTAACTTTGGGACACTTTGACATCAAGTCACACAACGTTTTTTTTTATTTGTGCCGTTCAATATAAACATAACTTATTTTTTCTGTTTATATATAATGATTTCCATTATTTATAAAATACTCATGAGTTCTAGATGATTAAAATTATTTTTATCCTTATAGATCAGCGGATAATATTCCTCTTACTACAATGAGTGATTCTTCAGAGAGGTTATGCAAAATAAAGGCTCCTCGCGAGGAGACAATCAACGAAGAAGCTAAATCTGAGGACAGTGGTAGTGTTGAGACGGTCAGACATTTCGGTCTGCCAATTCTGTCCGTATCAGGACCATCTCCCCCAGATGAAGACTACGACCAGATAGATGAATATCTGTAGCATTTCCATACAAGTTTCCAGCTCAAATATGTGCTGGAAAAGATGCGGCCACCATGGCCGAGTCCTGCACAAAGCCCCTCGATGGAAGACTTTTCTTAAATTCTTGGAACTATTGTGTTTTTAGTGTGAGTGATTCTTCTTAGTGATTTAAAGCATAATACTACATCGAAATACAAAACTTATCTATTAACGTGTCTATTTAATCAAAGGTGTCTTGACGAGGGACCATAAACTGTGCCCGAGCTCTCTTATTCTACTAGTGATACTTTAGATCATAATTTCAAGTCTCTATTGAGTGTTATTGTAATATTACGAAATAAATTCGATTATCCTATAAATGTATTGCAAATATAAATAAGAATTGCACAATTAATTACATATATTATCTATCTACATTTTATTGTGCCAGGTTATATATGAATTTAATGTCTATGATAGTATTCTGGTAAGCAATTTTTATGTATCGGCTAAGAAATACCTATCTATGTTATTAAATTATCTTGAGTGTCTTAAAATATGTAGTGACTTAGTTTCTAGTCCATTTTTATAGACGCATAATTAGTTTTCAATTGCCTGTAGTCGTAATTGCATTTGTCTTAAAGACTTATTCTATGTCGTATAAATTAGATTAGAATTGAAGGTTGAACTTTGGTCCAATGAATTGTATTATCTGCACACATGGTGTTTTAGACAGTAAGCGAGTGATACATTTTATAATATAACAACAGATTCTACTACATCTATATACATACAACTGCGTGTAAAATTTTCTACTCTATTAATAGTCATTATAAATAAATAATGTTTATTTTGAAAATCAATTTCCCAAACATATTGTACTATAAATTATATATACTTTTTAAATCATTAAGTCAATTAATCATAAATCTTTAGAAAGTTTAATATTTATGCTAAATGGCACTAATTATATCTATTACGGAAACAGAAAAGAGAATATGACATATTTGAAACAAAATTAACTGGGAAGGGACCAGAAGGTATGTTAGGTAATTTAGGAGTGAGGGCTACTTTGGCCGGACACCAGTTTTCGAAGTTAAGACTTATTCCCTCCACTATATATAGACTATCTTTCCACCACAAAAAGCACATTTGACATTATCATATTATATTCATATCTAAATTAAAATAATGTAGATGAAAAAAATAATATTGCGTAAATTTTTGTCCTTTGAAACAAATAACATTTCAATAAATAATCGATTCGGAACAGTTGGTTTGACGAAAATCGATATAAACTGCTATAATTAAGCTTTTAAGTCATGTCTGACATTAATTGAACGGTAGCTAGTGTAGGCGTAATGTGAAGAATTTATTCATTTTTATAATATTGTAGATTTAATGAATAGCCTTATTCTAATAGCGAGTTAATATATCCTTATTCCCGTAGTGAATTTTAATCTTCTACAATATTTCAATGTATGTAGTCTCTATATACTGTAGTCACCTTGTGCCAATATTAACTGTATTTTGTTTGCCCATAGACATGTTGCATTAATTAATATATTTTGATAACATAATACAAGTTATATTGAAAGCATTTCATTATAGATATAAGTTAACAATTAACATAGATCGGATAACGAATCAATTTTTATTATTTAGATAATAATAAGACATTATAATAATATTTGTAAGATGTTCATTGAATCGGTATATTTCATCGATCGGAAAGATTTCTGTAAGTAAGTTATTTTCTGCTCAGTCAGACGACCTGTGGGTTGTATAATCTTGTCTTGGTCTTGTTTTATACCTCATATTATAATCCATACCGCTTCAATGAAAGTTATATCCAATAAAGTAAAGATAAGCCTATCATTATCAATGAGTAATAATTTAGCTTTTACATTTTATTAGAAGTATATTTTATTATAGTCGAATTCGAGATGTACATATCTTCACAATATAAATCAATGCTGATTATTCGATTGTAAATGACATGAATTCTAATGTAATAATAAAATTAATATTTATATCCTTGATTCTATTTACTATCACGATGAAATAAAGTACTATAAAAATAAAGTTAGTTTAATTAAATTTTTAGATTCTTCTTTTTTGTAGACACCAATTTTAATGATTTTATTACCTTAATATTTTACTATAAGCCTACCAAGTTATTTCGTTAATTATTTTGATCACGCATGTTTGCGACATTCATTATTATATTATCATTCAGCCACTAAAATATTTGACCTTACTGTAGTACTTTTAATCGCTGTGATGGTATAGTTTTGTAATAAGTGAAAGTAATATGTAAAATTAAAACTGCATGGTTGAAATATATACTTAATTAAAAGGAACTTAAGAAATCTAATTTAATCTAAAAATTCGCAATCTGCATGAGTGATAAAAATAACTACAAGTAGTAATATAATGCCAATGGACACCAGTTTAAGAGTAAGTATAAAACCAGGGATAATTAAAAGTTTCATAATTTAAGAAAATATTTGATAAAGATAAACTATTACGTCTGTTTTGTGCTAAGATCATAAAAGCTGACAAGAAATATTTTCTTCATACTCAGTGATATACAGAAGTTAACTATGTATTTATATTTGTAATTAAAATTACATTAAGTATTTATATTAGCTATGTTTTCAATCATAAGACATTAAGTAAATTAATTTTTAATATTTTATTTAACCTTTTGTGAAAGTGGATGTAAGTTCTTTGTCGCGTTTTTAAAAACCGTTTTAACTCTTTAATTGTCTCAACTAAAATAGACTAAGTTCTTGTTAATAATTAATATCAATTATTTTATTCAATCAGTAAATTCATTCATTCACTAAAAGTCTTATTTTTGTTTTTGAGATTAAAAAAGGCAAGTAAAAGAACGAAAGCATTCGTCCAATTTGCTGCACTAACGAATGGTCACATAGCATCGTCTTTCTATAAAGTACATTTGTTACCATTCACTCAATCAAATAATATTACTGACCTATCGGAGAAACGATTGTAGCTGGAATAAATTGCAACGTGGTTATGATTCTAATTCCAGTAGCGGGAAATATATGTAGTATATATTAATTAAATACGTATTTCAAAACGTCGAATATTTGCAATGTATGAAATTTAACATGAACGATAATATGTGACAACTGCCAAATAAATTTTGAATTTATTATTCACCATGGAGCTAGAACGTCTATTGTATGAGGGCAAAAGATTTGATTTGAAAAGATTTAACGTCTCTACTATATCTAAAAACATCAATGAAATTATAGCATCGTTTCACGATTGATCATAAGATATTCATGACAATTTTACATGAGATGTTAGTAATTTTTTTTTTTTGTAAAATCTCAATAGTTCTAAATATAGGATATCATCTTTAAGACACCAATTTAGTCTCTTTGAAACAGTAATATAAGTCAAAGACCAAACATAAGGGTTACATTAAACGGTTCTGTATTATATCAAAGAAAATATACTCATAACCTTAGAATACATTATAAACATTAATTTACTCGAGGGAAGTAACTTTAAATTTATTTCTAATAATCAAATTGTGAGGATATTAGGTTAATACAAAACTAAGACAGGCTATTTCTCTATGCGAGGTACATTTACCTCCACCCATTAAATAGAACATTCTTGAACGTTGAGGAAACATTGTTGAGAGTATAACAATTAACAAGCAACCACAGACAGTTCTGTAAGGAGATTTCAATACCCCTCAATGAAGTGGACCTAAGATTATAATAATTATAAAATGGTTTCATGTAATAACTGTGTCAATAACGATTTTATGGATTTTACAAATCGTTTTTCAAGACTTCAATCCCATAAACAGTTTATTTTAGAAGTAAAACGAACAGAATAGTGTGAAGCTCAAATAAGAAGGCCAAAGATAGGGATATATTAAATTCTTTTATTCGACAAAACGAAAAGTTAAATAATGAAATCCTTTCAATGAGCTAAGAAATTATGAACGACAGAGTACATATAGGAGATTTTGTGCATCCCATTATCACTAAAATAGCGCACCTTAGTTCATTTTTGGTCACCAGCGGTGCAAAAATTTTGTCTAACTCTGTAATTTAGTAAGATGGGGTAAAGATACCTAAAATAAATTGCTTTATCAGAGGGAAGGCAATTAAAACTGCTAAGCATTTGCTGATGGGATAAAAGTACTTATGGTTTCTTGGGAAACAACATTTCCAAAGATCATACAATCAAGGTCAATAAATAATGGGAGCTCTCAGAGAATAGGCTCGTCGTAAATTTGTATGCGGTAGAAGAGGGAGCGAGAAATACGAGCGTCGTTACATGCGTCGAAGACAGCCCTAGCAGGTTTGTTTCAAATTTGGTTAAATAGGAAGAGGAGCTAAGAAGCTGGAGGTGATTGTTTAACGCACATTCAATAGGTTCGCCCCTTAAAAATAAATCTGGAATACAAGTCCAAGACATTTTTAAAATACCTTTTGCTGGAACGTGATGGCGCCGGCACTCACACGGTGAATTCAATGAATGCTGGGAATTTTTGCTTGATTATTGTCTGAGCTGATAAACTGAAAAAAAACTGTGTTGCATGTTTGGTTGAGAAAATTTTATTCACCTCTGCAGATTGGAAACATAAAACCAGGAACATAAAACCATAATTATTACATGCGAATTCCAATGTTAAGCATCAATTCCAAGGGGTGACAATCTAAGCGCACGGTAGTGCGCCGGCCAAGTTCCACAGGCCGGCGCATGCCGTGCACTATATTTACACGAACCGTTTCGACCCACTTTTGACCCCCCTGTAGCTCAGTGCCTATTGCAAGTACAGAGATAAAATTTAATCTACGTAATCATATACTAGTACTAAAGCAGTATGCCAAATTTCATAGATAAAGCTTCAGTAGATCCTGAAATATGACCCTGTGAAAATAGCTAATTTTGGCACTGACTCACTGACAGGTAATCAAAACCTCTAGGCCACTTCCCATTGTTTTAGCATTATGAAATTTGGTACACAGGTTGTGTGTTATATG